TGAGTGAAAGGGGCCCCACCGTGGCTTCTCCCGTGGCCCCTACTCACACCACACCCCACTGCACCCACAACTCATACCTCTTTCGTTACGGAGCTCATGGCAGGTCGGGTCCATTCATGACCTGTTGCACCAGTGTTTGCCCGAGTTTCTCACCAGCAACTTCTGCATGAGCTCAGCTGTGTCCCTAGTTCCTCCCTCAGCCCAGCTGCCAGCAAAGGTTCCATGAGAAGAAGGAAAATTGTGTCCTTGGGGGAACAGCATTATCAGCCTGTGATGCTAGGGGCCGGGGGTGGCCGAGAAATGGCCAGGGGATAGCTGGACACCAAGGCCACTTACAGGTGTGAAGGGAATAGAAGGTACCCTCCTCCCTCTGCTTGGAATGTTTTACTTGGGTTAGCAATAATCACAGGGACATGTCCCGCAATTCAAAGCAAGCTATTCGTTCTCCATCTTGGGCAAGACGGAGCAGACAGACAATCCTGTCCCGCTCAGAACAGACATGTGGCAGAGGCCTGAGTCCAACCTTCCCCATGGAACTGCTCGGTGGTTCCACCACCAGGAACACAAGTCTTGGGGCCCCAGGGACCGTCAGAAAGGGAAGGCGCTTCCAACCACACAATGACTCCACCAGCCAGCCAGCCAGCCACCCGTCCATCCATCTGTCCATCCAAAAGAAATATGCTGCCTTCCCTAGTCCCTCTCCCTTCCTGGCCACACGTGTGGCTCCATCTGGGAACTGACCAGCTCACGGAGCAAACCACACGAGTCCCTACCACAGTGTGTGTTTCCCCTAAGTCACCTTATGCCCCCTCTGGGGCCCCCTCCCAGGCACTTTCCTTCCCTGGCGACACCGCTTGCCTGTGGGATGTCCAGTGTGGTCTCCGGCAGCAGACAGGACATCCAACAGCAGCACATCCGACAGGACTCGAAAATGAACACTGGGAAGGGGAAGAGAGGAGAGGGATGGGTGTGGAAGGGTGCTCGGGAGATCCTGGTCCCTCAGGTATTCATAGAGGAGCCTCCTTCCAGGAAGTAGGCAGATCCTCTAGAATCCGCACCTGAAGGTGCTCAGGTCTAGAGAGTAAATGGTTCCCCGTGGGGTTACTTGTGGAGAAAGGGGAGGGAGATGGGCTTAGGAATCCAGAAACTCAGGGCTGTCAAGGACTCATAGGTCAGCCATCTCAGCTCCTATCTGACTTTAGGCTTCCATCTTGTGTCCTCTCACAAGAGGCTGTGCAGTCTCTGTTTGCATACCTCCTACGATGGGCAACTTACTACCTTTCTATGCAGCCTTTTCCCACTCCTTCTTTGCCTCAGGGTTATGCACCCAGGTCCCACTAAGCAGGGCCACTAGAACATTTGAGGGCATCCCCCAACCAGATACTGGGAGTTTAATGAAAACCAACTGTCACAGGGACTCTCAAGTCCCTGCAATTCATTAAGCTCGATGAGAGGAGGAATGTGAACACCAGATATTTATTAACTGGGGACATAGAGGGAGCTTTCCTTCCATGAGTGTTTAGTTCTGGGCCTCCACCCATTTCCCCCAAATGGGCCCTGATGCTAAGTCCTCCCAGCTTCCCAGTGCTCTCCCATCCCTCCTCCCTTTGGCCCTTACTGACGCTCTGTAAGGTGGGCAACCCTGGGCCTGTCTCCACCCTTCCATCTTGCTCCCCAACCCACAGGTGCCATTTTTCTTCTCTGGGGAGGTGTGGCACGGTTTTCACGCAGTCACACGATCAAACAACAGATTCAGTGAGCACCCATGGTGTGTCAGGCACTGTGTCAGGTGCCAGGACCACAAGGAGGCCCGAGACCCACTGTCCAAGAGTGCAGAGGCTGTAGGCAGAGCCGGATGACTGAGGCGGTAGTAGGATTACGGTGGCGTCTATGCAGCAAAGCCCTGGTTCCTGCGGGACCCAATTTTAGCCTTTTGTGGCTTCCAGTAAACCAAACCCATCATCAGGACTAAATAAAAGAGCAAGGTCAATCCGTATTTGGTTACTTGAGAGAGAGCAAAGGTGGCTGCATTCATGACCCCCGCCTCATTATGGTCGCCGCAAAGTCCCCTCACTCCTGAGCACCACAGCCCATCGCCCTCACAAACCCTGCCCCACAACCCTTCTCCACACAGGCAACCACTTCTCTTTCCTCTCCCCTTGGCTTCCAGCCCCACAGCCCCTGGCCAAGGGGCCCTCGGCCTCCCTCGGGGCTACTCTGAGTCAGAGGCCCCAGAAGCTAACCCGAATGGAGGAGCACAGGCTTCTACCCATGGGTGGCTTGGGTGTGGTACTTGATCACACACACGCCCCCGAGCAGGACTCAGGCTGACCTCGAAGCTTCTGGTAGCACCACAAAGCCACCATGCGGCACTGGGGACTGGGGACGGGTAGAGGTGCAAGGGAAGGAGGGTGTCTAGGGCCTCAGGAGTACTTTCCTGTGGCTTATCTCATCTACCACTCACAGCCGTCCTGGGAGGGCGGCAAGGCCAGGAGTGGGCTGAACTCTTCCCAGTTCACAGACATGTATACCTATGGCCAAGGTCAATGTGATACTCACGGAGAACACCCCAACTCAGTCTACACGTTTTGGAGGACTCCAGTGTAATCACGGGTCCACACGAGTGTCCACGCATGGAGACGTGACCAGGAACACAGTCACGCAGAGAAAGCAAGGGCTCATACTGGTGAGAACGGGGAGGGCGCTCTGGGCACCATTTAGGCCCAACTGTGGGATCCAGCGGCACTCTTCCTGGCTGTACCACACAAGGCAGCTCTTACCTGGTCCACAAGGAAGAGGAAAAAACTGCCTGCAGCAGGCTTATTAGTCTGGGGGTGGGGTGGAGGGTAGAGGTGGGCGGGAGGTAATGTGGGGGTCCAGCAATGCAGGCGAGGGTGGATAAGCTGGGAGAGCACACCGCCGACTAATGGGGGTGCGTGCAATAAAGGTGGAGGGTGGGTTTGAGAAACTCAGTGCTGTGTGGAAGTTCCTCAGAAGTTCAAAATAGAGCTCCCCTAGGACCCAGCAATTGCACTACTGGGTATTTACCCCAAAGATACAGACATAGTGAAAAGAAGGGCACAGGCACCCCAATGTTCCTAGCAGCAATGTCCACAATAGCCAAACTGTGGCAGGAGCTGAGATGCCCTTCAACAGACAAATGGATAAAGAAGATGTGATCCATGTATACAACAGAATATTACTCAACCATCAGAAAGGATGAATACCCACCATTTACATCAACATGGATGGGACTGGAGGAGATTAGGCTGAGTGAAGTAAGTCAAGCAGAGAAAATCAATTATCATATGATTTCAGTGACTTGTGGAACATAAGGAATAGCATGGAGGACATTAGGAGAAGGGAAGTGAAGAATGAATGGGGGAAATCAGAGGGGAAGACGAACCATGAGAGAATATGGATTCCAGGAAACAAACTGAGGGTTTTAGAGGGGAGGGGGGTAGGGAGATGTGTGACCCCGGCAATGGGTATTAAGGAGGGCATGGATTGCATGGAGTACTGGGTGTTATACAAACAATCGTGGAACACTACATCAGAAACTAATGATGTACTGTATGGTGACTAACATAACATCAACATCATCATCATCATCATAATAAAAGAAACTTAGTGCTGAATGAAAAAGAAAAAGCAAGAGAATATATTGAGTTATTCAAATTAAAATACATGTCCACAAAACAATAACACCATTTTGCATGAACACGGAAGACACTCCGGTTGCACCTTAAAATGACTGTTGGGGGATGAGGGTGGGATATGGAAATGAGAGGCCTCCCAGGGAGCAACGTTGGCAATGGGTCATGTAGTGGGGGGCATCATGAACTCACCCTCCGTGCCCGAGGTTAGAAATGATGGCGAGACTGGCATGCGTAGTTAGATTCTGACACACATACAAGAATAAATCTCTTCGACAAGCCCGCAAGCTTTCCAAAAGCCATTATCATTTGTGTACACACACAAGATGATAGAATCAGAAATGAAAGCAGCGGCTGGAGATGCTATTCTTAGGTCACTTTCAGTTAGAGAACTGGGGCATCCAGAGGCAAAGTTGAAGACCCAGAGCCTACTTAGCCAAGATTATGTTTTCTTACGGATGATGGCAACCATGGCCAACGTAAAGTGTAGAGTAGCCAGGACTGGACTTACCTGTAACTGGGGGGGATGGCAGTGGCTACAATTTTAAAGCATTTATTGTTTATTACAAAAGTAATTCACATTCAGAAATAGAGAAGTAAATATAGATGAAGATAGAAAGCACCTTGATCCTTCCTCATACCCAGAAATGTTCTTTCCAGGCTTCTGTTCCATTCACTCCTCTAGGCTTATGCACTGCAGTGGAAGTTTTCATCAGGCAAAGGCAGAACAGCACAATGAGTCATGTTTGAACCTCATCAGTTACAACAGGATTCCAGTGAGGAAACAGCTGTCTAAGAGCCATCCAGAAGTCGCATCCACTGGCTTTGCTGGGCCGGCTGGACTTCCTGCTGAGTGTTACTTTGCTCTTCACCAAATCCACCAGCGACAGAGGAGGGGGCAGCTCCTGAGTAGGTGATCTCAAAAGTAGAGGAGGAGATTTGGTTTGGCTTGTGCCCATTTTGATCAATGAGTTCATAGTTTTTTCTTTGCAATAACAAAGGACTCTCATAGCCTCAGAAACCCTTGAATTACTGAAATTAACATGGGGAAAATATCTTAGTTATCAAGTCTAAAATTCTCTAGCATTTTACACCCATTTTTTCCCCATTGAAATAATTGTTTCTAATGTTGGGTTTGAAACACATGGTATTTTAGGATTTGAACTAATTAAATGGAGCGGAACAGGCTCTCTTTATACATATACACATATATACATATATAATTTTAAAAATAAAGTGAGGATCATACTGTACATATAATCTTATATTTGCCTTCTTTACTTAATAGCACATTGTAAGCATTTCCCAAGGCATTAAGTATTCTTGAAAAATATGATTTTAACGCCTAAACTATTTTATCTTATGAATGTAACATAATTTATCCACTCCTTAGTCAACATTTTAAGTTACTCCTAGCTGTTTTCTATTTTTTAAAAAAACTGGTGTGATAAAGACTCTCTGTCTACATCTCTTGTTATTTTCTTACAATAAACTTGAGAATTGGAATCACCTTCATGAGGTTTTTGCGAGCATTATCAACAGTATATAAATCCCCCAAAACAATGCTCAGCACACAGCAGGCTTTCAGCTACTAGTAGCTGTAAATAGGAAATCAAGTTCCTACGAGAACAGACCAGTTCTGTCCAGGCCGAGTCAGGCAAGAGATGTGCTCCGTTTGGCTGGGGAATGACGAAGGGACGGGGCCATTCTTGCTTCCAGATGATTCTCCAGTGACCCCAGTGTGGCCCTGCTGCCCTCCCTGTGCCCGTCTCAGCCACAGCCCCCACAGAGGCCGGGGGGCCCACTAAGCTCCGTCATGTGGACGGCAGGGGCAGCCCTGAATGACCCTGACTGCACTCTTGACTCAACCTTCAAGTAGCAGTAAACTGGGGTCGGAGAAGAAACAATGTAATCATCGTGTTCTCAAAGACGGTTTATTAGCTATTCTCACTCATGGTGAAGAGAAATAAAAAAGTGGATGAAACTGAGATCAGAGGAGATGAAAATCCAACAGTTCCTCCCCGAGGCCCTCCCCCAACTAGACAACATGGATCGCCAGGGGCTTCGCGTCTGCATCTAGCAAGGGAATGCATCCAGAGAAGAGCCTAATTTCTTCGAAGGTACAGGGTCTAATATGATGCGATGAGAAAATCACAGGATGATTTTTTCAACAGAGACTGAACGCTTATCCGTCTACGAGGGACACCCCTTCCAAGCCACACGGTTATCTGCAGAAACGGTTGGGCTCCTCTTTGGAAGGTGTCTTCCCCATGCAGACGACTCTGTCGCCTGTCCCTGGCAGTGGCCGAGCTCGGCTATTTGATGGTGGATCTGATTTCCAAGCATAGTCTGGTCACCTGAAGCTGGCTGGGAAAAAGGAGGGTTAAGGAGGCTCTGGGACGCGGCTGGGAGCGAGAAGCTGGGGAAGCTCCAGCGATGAGGCCGGGTTTCTCAGGTGGGCCGCCGCTGGCCCTGTAGGCCCTCCCCGAGCCGGCAGGGATCTTCACCCCCCACAACTGGGCAAGGGGGGCATGGCGGGCATAAGCACGCAGCCTCTTAGGGTGCGTGTGTGTGGAAGCTGGGCACTCACTGATGCTTCAGTTCCAGGCCGGCTGCGAGAACACCCCTCTCTTGTTTGGCTCCCTAGGAGCCCTAGCAAGACAGTTTGTTCTTTCTGGCAAGAGGAAAGCTTGTCAGTTTAAAGTAAATTTATATTTGGTCTAAGAAAGGCCAGTGCCCAAAAGGATTTCCATTCTTTGGGGGCCGAGGGCACGGAGCGCCATTGTCCTTCCTTTCTTCCCTTTACATGCTTGCTTCCGAGCCCACTGGAGGATGTCTTCGTGTTTGCCCTCCACAATACCTGGCCCCCCGGAGCGAAAAGGCCCCAAGCACCAGCAACTCGCAGGCCCATCCTCACTGGGTGGCCTCAGGAGAAGGACCCACCAGGTGGGACAGCTGCAGCCCCTCGCCCCAGAGCACATCCCCACAGGGATTCGGACACCAGCCGGGGGCCGATTAACAGGGGCACCCTTCTGGCCTCCCCCAGACCCAGAGACCTGAGGGCACGGCAGATGGGGCTGGACCTAGACGTCCGGGATGGGGGTGTTGCAGTTCCCATGGTAGATCTTGACGTGGCCCTCACACCGGAAGTAAGCCTCGAAGACGTCGCTGTAGCCGTGGTCCCTCCACCAGGTGCAAAGCTGCCGGTTCCAGGTGCAGTCCAGCACGTGGAAGAGCTCGGGGTGCTCCATGCCGATCATGGTGAAGAAGTCCTGGTCCCCAAGGTGGCCACGGAAGTGGTACTTGTCGGCCAGCTGCTGTACCTGTGCGGGCTCCAGCAGGCGGCTGTAGAGGGGGGACTGGCGCATGGCCTCCAGGTTCAGCAGCATCACTCCGCTGTTGAAGCCGGGGAGCCCCTCGGGCGGGGGGCCGCCAACCCGTGTCTTGGGGTTCTCATGGCGGAACTGCCAGAATGTGTGCCTGGGAAGGGGAAAGAGAGCAGATTTAACCTGGTTTGTGTGGGTGAAACAGTCTGCCGGCCCTATCTTCCCGGGTGGTCACAACCAGCCTGGAGAGAGACGCTGTCTTCACTCCAGGCTTATAGCTCTGGGGACAGAGAGGTTCTTGGGCTGGGAATTGGCATCACGCCACCAGCAAGTGGCACAGCTTGACTCAGACCCGGGCCTCCTGATTCCAAGCCTTAGGGTCTTCCCACCATCTTCTGCTCCTTCAGGATGACATCGTTGCTAACGTTTGTCTAGGACTCATCAAGCAGCAGGCGCACAGAGAGAGAAAGCACAAGCAAGCAGTGGGAGAGGGAGAAGAAGGCTCCTCAGTGGGGAGCCCGATGCGGGACTCAATCCTGGGACCTGGGATCATGACCTGAGCCGAAGAAAGACGCTAAACCGACTGAGCCACCCAAGTGCTTCTGCCTTTGTGATCTTGGAAAGGAAAGGAGAGAAGTGGGGGAAGTGATTTTGAGAAGCGATCTGGAAAGAAGTAGAAAGCTACCTGCAGGCTGAAATAAAGTCAGTTTCTTCTTTAGAACAAGCTTCATGAAGGCCCAAGCCTAGCACTTCTAAGTGGCTGGGCAGGGGTTGGAGGCCTGCAACAGAGCTCAGGGCCCACATGCATGGGTTAGGCTGAAAAGCAGCTGGGACAGCCAGGTGGAATTAGGGCTATTTTAGAGGGAATGTCACCTCAATCTTCTCTCAAGGCCTCAGGATGGGGGATGCATCGGGGCACCTGGAAATGCCACCCCGAGGCTCCCAGAGGTCGCTCCCTCAACCAGTCACAGGGCAGGATCTGTGCGGGGAAGTGACCAGTGCAGGGGAAAGAACACAAGAGACCCAGCCCACGGCAGCCACAGAGATCCATTTCGTAGCTCCCACACACTGCTCTGTGTCTGGGAATCGGAGAGGCCTTCCCTGAGGTCTCGCATATCACAAAGGGCACCGAGAGTTCGATCCTGGGGAGGGGAAAAGCATTCCCTCTGGACATTCTTACAAGCGGAATAACAGGTCTATTGTTTGAATTTTGCCATAATTGGACAGTGAGTGGAACAGAGCTCTGGCGCCTGCTTGGTGATAACAACCTTGGCAAAAATAAGCTTCCAGAGCAAAAGGAGATGTGGGAGCCCTTCTAGTGATGGGATCACAGGGGTGCTGGAATGCTGCCTGGCGACTTGGTCGGTTTTACCATATTTCTTCCAAATGGTTCCCGCAGGTCCAGGCTGTAAGCCACTAAGATTCTCCCAGATGAATCTGGGCCACCATAGCATGGGAGAGGAGGGCTCCTCCAACCAGGAGCAGGGGGGCTTTACCGGGGAGGCAGGACTCAGCCTTCCAGGAGAGAAGAGAAGCACTCACCAGGGAGGGGAGGCCCGGGAAGGGAGACGTGTGTAGAAGACCGGCAGGGCCGGGCCTGTGGAGGTCCTAGACGTTGCGAGGCCATCAGCCTCCTGTTTGTCCCCCAGGTCTCGTCTCTCCCCTTCCCGGAGGACCATGGGAGAGTGAGCAGGGTGCAGGCTAGCGGTCAAGTCCGCCCTTCCCAAGACCGCCGTCACCTCTCCATTCTCAGCACCTCGCACAGCGCCCACACGGCGGGCCTTCAGAACATGAAAGTACTTGATGAGGAAGGATGGGAAGGTCAGTGGGGCTCAAGCTATGTCGCCTTCGGTGTCGTCTGGAACCGGGGCAGGGAAATGTCAGGACACAAAGCTACAGCTGTGGATGCTGTGTTCCAGGCCCCAGGGCCCCATCTCTCTGGCATGGTGAGGGGCAGGGGACCACGAGAGGGTGCTCAGGGGTTTCAAAGGGTTCGGTACGGTTTCTATTCGTGAGCCAGCTGGGGGGTGCAGAGGCCATCTGCTGCCCTGCAGTACCCCCCGGAGCTCCCCTGTCTCTAGCATACTGACCTGCTACGGAACTTGCTGGGCCCAGGACAGCGGGGCCAGACGCAGACAGAACAACGAGCATCCTTCCAGGTGGGGACCAAAAGCCAGGTGGCTCTTTGGGAACCTCATGCCTAGTACCACCAGCGCTACAAAGAGGCATTTTATAACAAAGCCAGAGAGAACCAGGCCCAGGGCATCAGCGCGTTATGACCGGTAAGGAGAAGCGAAGGAAAGACAGGAAATTGGAAATGCAAGCTGCCTGGGATGTGTCCTAAGGCAGGAAAACAGCCTGTAAATGAACCAGTGCTTCTCTAAGTACAAAATTATTTCCAGGGTGCCTCTGTTTAAAGCAGGCCCACCACTCCAAAATGAACCCAGACAGACAGAGCCACCGCCTGCAGGACTGCTGGGTTTCTCTGGCCTCTGTGTCAGCTGGTTTGTGTGGAGGAACCACACTGGCCTTGGGATGGAGAGAAGGACACAAGGCCGTGGAGGGACCTGAGCTCATGAACCCTGATCCCACGTGAATGGGCCAAACGGGGCAGTCCGGCCAGTTCCCCCTGCCACAGCACAGCGAGGATGGCAGAGCCCTTTCCGTTCCCTGCCTCGGCTCCTGGGCGGCGCGGGGACATCACTGGCCGCATTCTAACAGGGACAGAACAGAGGTCCCCTGTGCATCAGGGGCAAGCCTGACTCAAATGCAAGGGCTCTGAGCTCCAAAGTCCCTTTTATCTTCGCTCGGATTCCATGGGCTAGGGTTCCCAGGAGGGGCACTTGGATTTCAATCTCATTTCTGAAGTTGGCTGATACCCCCAAGGCCACGGGCTCTGGGGACCTGGCTGGCAGGTGAGGCGGAAGCTGCTGGTACTTCACTGAGAGGGGGTCAGACCCAAGAGCCTCTCTCAGGGAGGTCAAAGAGGGCCCTAGACCCTCGCCTTCCTCACAGGGCCTGGGGCTGAACTGATATGTATGCAAAGGGCACTGCCAGTGGTGTGTGCTGAGGCTGCAGGAGCCTCTGTATGAATGCAGGGATCTGGCTCCAAGTCCTGGAGCTTCTAGAAGTTTCCCTGATTAGGCTCCGAGCCCACAGTCTGCCATGTTGCCCTGACGCATCATCTGGACTTGGGCCTCTGCAGAGGCTTGTCTCCATCCTCAAATGTCCTATGGAGATACACAAGAGAAGAGACAAAATGCGAAACAAGCCCTCGCACAGCAGTCCATTGTAAATACTGAGTCTTTCCTGGAATCAACCAGGCTTGACAGGAAAATACAAATTAAGAACCTTTAAGTACATTCTTCCAAGTATGGGCAATGCATTTCCTAAATTTGTTCTATTGAGTATGCCCTAAGTAATACTCATACAAAAGACTATTAAATTATTAAAAAACAAGTACACTAGTTTTCATGAAGAAAACCCATCTTATGAAAAGAGGTATCTGAAATCATTTTGAAAAGCAGTCATTTTCTCCCTTCAAGTCTTTCCCTGATGATCATTACCAAGGTCACTCCAACAAGTCTCTCAACTAGAGAACCTGGCCAGAAAACCTGGGAAAGAACACATGTTATTATGAATAAGTCTTTCTCCTCCCACCATCCCAATCACAGACCTTCCTGCCTCCCTATCCATGCTTTTCTCCTGGGTTGGTCTTTCTTGGCTCCTAAGGCCCAGGGTCTTCCATTTTCACTACTGAGAGGGTTGAGAAGCAAGGATGGGAGCATGCAATGAGCCTGGGCAGTCTGCATCAGGCTCCCTAAGAAGGTTCTAGAAGCCCATGCTGACTCAGGTTGAGTTCAAGCTGTTGGTTTTCAGGCAAAGAGGGCTCTGTTTTCTGAGGTCCTGAAGGACAGTGTCATATGTGGCACTTCTCCCTGTGGTTTACCCGTTGAGTGTTCAGAGTCAAGTGCAAAGTCTACGGAGCAAGCGAGGCTGGGGCTCTTCCTGGAGGAAGCATGCCGTCTGGATGCTGTCTAATCAGTGAAGACTGGAATCAGGAAACATTACTCCCTTTATGCCCATGCTTGTGTCCCAGGACCAATGAGCTCTTGTTTGACTTGGAAGGGACCCTGTTTTCCAGTCTTTTGCAAGGAAAGACTGGGAGTGAAGAGCAGCACGTCCTGTTAGGTGACCAGGGGACAGTTGTGGGTGATGAGGGGCTGATTTTGGAGCAAGGACAGTGTTCCTCCGTCCTGCCTTGAGCTGACGTTCTGGGGGACGGACACAGATTCTTCAGTTCTTTAGCGGAAACACTGCCCTGTGGGTCTCAAACTGGAGACGACACGGACTGCTGACACAGTGAGGCTTTAGACGGCCACTTCCTAGGGCACTCCTCACCGCCAGGAGTCACAGCCGACCCTTATCAGGATCTCTTGCTAGCAACTCAGGTCTCCAGCTCTGCCAGACAGAAACGTTCTTCAAGTCCCACAGGCTAGTAATGTCAGGACCAGGACGAGAGGGTTCTCTCCCGGGACCACAGGCTACCAGAACCTAAAGACACGTGAAGATTCTTAGCTCACCTGCCAAGCTTACCCATGAGGACACCGAGGCTCAGAAATGGCCCTGCCCGTAGTCATACCACTGAAAAAGTAACCCCCACCCCAATCCCAGGCTGATGATTTTGCTTTCCCAAAAACGCCCTGCCCAGAGAAAGCAACTGCTCCCTCCTGCCACGCAATAAGCCATGTGACAGATGAGACTGTGCCACTTAGTGCCAAGCTTTCGGGAGGCACAGAGTTCACGCTTTCCCATCTGGCAGGGACTAGCTCCTCCAAGCCCATCACGCCTACACCTGGAAGGGGAGCTGGGCCCCCAAATGGCTGACGGGGCTTGCTTGGGGCAGCAGGTGGAAGGCGTGCGCTTGTCCTTGTTTGCAGGACCTCAAAAGAAATGTGTGCCTGCTTTCAAACACCAGCCCTGTTTGCAAGCCAGCAACTGAGTTTCCAACCACAATATGCCCCGAACCAAGAGAGGACAACAGGTCAGGGGTTGAGACAGGGGGCACGTGGATGGAGCTGGGGGTGCTGGCACCAGGCGGCCTGGCAGGAGAGCAGAGGACTTCTGGGGGTGCTGAAGTCCAAAAGAGACTCC